AAAAAAAAAAAAAAAGACTGGTATTGTGCAGCTGTGTAAGCACCTGGGTATGACAAAGCTAAATGTTTTGGTGGCATGAAGCTTGTTAGCCCATCCCCCCCCCAAAAAAATCCATAAATTATCCGCAGCATTGTTGTTCAAAGTGTGTGAAAAAAAGTAGCGTCTTATAGTCCGGAAATTACGGTAAACAACAAAAAACTACCACTCCGTATCCAACGGTTGAAATGTTTTCTAGTGTTCCAACTTTATTGCTGATGTCTTCCCATCTTGGCATTGTGTTAACACACATTTATTAATTTATTTTCTTAATTAGATAATGAAGCTGTAGAGTCTGTTTTTGTTCACTTGAGGTTAGATTTGAATAAATGTAAAAAGCTGGTAAAGACCAGATAATTTTTATATGGCCTCACGTATAAAACCCAAAATATACGGTTGTTTTTCTTGACTGATTTTTTTTTCTTTTTTGGGGCAAAATACAAAAAAATAAAATAAATTAATTCTTCAATAAGGATCATTTGGAATTTTCCAAAGGATTATTATTATCTCTTCTATTAACTTGTTCTTTCCCAGAAAAGGAAATAGGTCTATGAAAATACCATTTAAATATTTAAAAGATTGATCTTTTCAATTTATTTTTATTTTTTTATTAAGCATCCTGGTACAACTCAGCTCCCCATCAAGATTTGACTTCCTTTAAGTCTCGTCTGTTGAGTGCACACTGCGTCAGTAAATCTTGTCCAAATTAAATAAGTAAATTTGGATCTTCTACGATTGTCAAATTGATTACATCAGTGATTACGTTTTTTATTTTATTTAAACACGTTTCAGGAGATTTAAGGAGCGCCAGCTCTAACTTCCATTACGACTCCCACTCTTTGATGAATTCGAACAAATCATTACATCAGATTTTTGATCGTTCCTTCATTTGGACGTCTTTAACGTTCAGCCTGAATGTTCAAAACTGGAATACCTTAACTATTTAAATCTCTTAAATCTGGAACGCATCTTTGCCTGTGTGTCTGTGTGGAAGAAATGTTTATTCTAGTGTTCCATTCTTGGTTCAAAGCAGCTTGGTTTGGTTCAGTGTGAGGTGCTGCCGTATATTAACGTGTGCTGACATGAAAACCATCTTAATTTATAATAAATTATACAGAATACGGATCAGCTTTTGGCCATCGCAACGTGATCCAGTCAGTTTTCGCTTTTGATCATTACCGGATTTAATTTGTTTGGTTTGAACGCTAATATTTTGCCCTTTTGTTTTTCAAAAAACGTGTATTTCACGACATATCAGATCATCAAATGTATGCCTTACTACTGTATTATAAAATGCTTTACTGTATATCAATAAAGCATGCAATGTTGATGTTTTCATCGTTTGATTTAGGTAAGCCTTCGCTAAGATCATGGATGTGAACTCAAATTCTGGAAAAGTTGAGGTGTTGTGTAAAATAAAAACAAAAGTAAAGGTTTGTAAATCTCGTGAGCCCATATTTATTCACAATGAAACGTAGTAAACTTAAGAAGTTTTACAGCTTTTAGCCATTAGTTAGTTGCAGTGTAAAGGTTAGTCTTGTTTTGCTGAAATAAGCAAGGCCTTCCCTGAAAAAGACATTCTCTGTATGGAACCATATATTCTAAACCTTCTTTAAATAATTCTGCTTTGATCAGACCTTTCCAAAAATCTAAGCTGCCCATGCCGTAGGCACTAATGGACCCCCATACCATCAGAGAGGCAGACGGGTTGAGTTGTGCGCAGGGCTTAATTTGTAAACCAAACGATGCTGGAATGCAAATAGCATTGTGGGGGGTGCTGGTGTAGGGGTCCTCCCCAGAAAATTTTGATTAAAGTACAGTTGCTGGTCATAAAATAATGTGAAAATGTTGATTTATCTCAGTAATTCCCTTCAAAAAGTGAAACTTCAACTTGTATATTATATTCATTCATTACACAGACTGATATATTTTTTGTTTATTTTAATGTTGATGTTTATAACTGACAAGTAATGAAAACCACAAATTCAGTATCAGATCATTAGAATATTGTGAAAAGGTTCAATATTGAAGACACCTGGTGCCACACTCTAATCAGCTAATTAACTCAAAACACCAGCAAAGGCCTTTAAATGGTCTCAGTCTAGTTCTGTAGGTTACACAATCATCAGGAAGACTTCTGACTTGACAGTTGTCCTAAAGACGACCATTGACACCTTGCACAAGGAGGGCAAGACACAAAACCTAAAGAGGCTGGCTGTTCACAGAGCTCTGTGTCCAAGCACATGAATAGAGAGGCAAAGGGAAGGAAACGATATGGTAGAAAAAAGTGTACAAGCAATAGGGATAACCGCACCCTAGAAAGGATGGTGAAACGAAACCCATTCCAAAATGAGAGGGAGATTCACAAAGAATGGACTGCAGCTGGAGTCAGTGCTTCAAGAACCACCACGCACAGACATATGCAAGACATGGGTTTCAGCTGTCGTATTCCTTTTGTCAAGCCACTCTTGAACAAGAGACAGCATCAGAAGCGTCTCGCCTGGGACTGCTGCTGAGTGGTTCAAAGTTATGTTCTTTGATGAAAGTAAATTTTGCATTTCCTTTTGGAAATCAGGGTCCCAGAGTCTGGAGGAAGAGAGGAGAGGCACAGAATCCATGTTGCTTGAGGTCCAGTGTCAAGTTTCCACAGTCGGTGATGGTTTGGGGGACTATGTCATCTGCTGGTGTTGGTCCACTGTATTTTCTGAGGTCCAAGGTCAACACAGCCGTCTACCAGGAAGTCTTAGAAAACTTAATGCTTCCTGCTGCTGACCAACTTTGTGGAGATACAGATTTCATTTTCCAAAAGGACTTGGCACCTGAACACTGTGACAAAGCTACCGGTATCCAGTTTAAGGACCATGGTATCTCTGTTCTTAAATGGCCAGCAAACTCGCCTGACCTTAACCCCATAGAAAATCTGAGATATTGTGAAGAGGAAGATGTGATACACCAGACCCAACAATTCAGAAGAGCTGAAGACCACTGTCAGAGCAACCTGGGCTCTCAAAACACCTGAGTAGTGCCACAGACTGATGGACTCCATGCCACGCCGCATTGATGCAGTAATCCAGGTGAAAGGAGCCCCAACTAAGTACTGAGTGCTGTACATGCTCATACTTTTCATGTTCATACTTTTCAGTTGGCCAACATTTCTAAAAATCCTTTTTTTATTGGTCTTAAGTAATAATCTAATTTTCCGAAATACTATATTTGGGGTTTTCATTATTGTCAGTTATAATAATCAACATTAAAATAAATAAACAATATATATATTATATATATTGAAATATATTAGTCTGTGTGTAATGAATGAATATAATATAAAAGTTTCACTTTTTGAATGGAATTACTGAAATAAATCAACTTTTTCATGATATTCTAATTTTATGACCAGCCCCTGTAAATGTCATTTCCTACATTCTGGTGTATTTTAACGGGTTGTTAAACATCTACGTTATGCTCTGCTTCTTTCAAGCATCCTTGCACCTGCTCCAGGACTATCTCCATTGGCTCTAACTTCATGTGCTTCAATTCTCGGTTGTTTAGTTGTACAATGAGAAAACTTTGAACATTTTGATCACTGTTATTTTGACAAATGGGCGCCATTGTCACTGATTACCCATCAAACATTTCTCGTGTTTTTAACAAATTATCAACATTTTACTAAGGACCCACTTAAACTGTAAAACTGATCTGCAAATTAGTTGTGCTGTTCAATGATGTTGTTTTGTTTTTAATTATATTGCCCATGATTGTACTTTTAGGGACAGAGACTTTTTTTAAGGGTAGAAGCGGAACTGCTTACTTGAAGGAGCAGCTCTTATGTGATATTAGGTAAGTGGCTGTTTTGTTTAAAATGAGTGTTTATGTAATTATTTTCAAATTACATATCCAATTTAGGTTTTATTTGTCAAGCCTGAGTTACCGGATCCAATCAAACAGTTACCGGAATGCACCCTGTCAAAATAAGAGAGATCCCGAATCCTGTTCCGGCAGGATCCTGCTCAAATTAAGCCCTGGTGGTGAGTTGATAACAGTTTTAGTAGACAGAACAGTTCTTCACTTTACCTCTGTCCACTTGACCTGAATTTTAGCCCAGAGAAGATCTCTTGATGTTTTTCAAAAATTTATTTTTTTCTGCACGATAGAGCTTTAACCAGCATTCATGGACAGCAAAGTCTTTCTTCCTTGAGGAACTTTTTCTAGTTGTTCCACTACTTAAGATGGTTTTTAGAAACTAGTGAACCTCTGCTCTTCTTTACTTCTGAGAGATCCGACCCCTCTAAAAGTCCTGTCCTCTTACTGACTTGCTACTAATTAATTTGTTGCAAAATGTTCCTCAAGCTGTTTAGTATTCTTACCGCTTATGGTTACAGCTAACATCCCATTTGGAGCATACGGCTTCATAAAAACGTGTGAAATCATAAAACTGTCACTTTTATAAATGAATTTAAAGACACATTTGCAGTTTGCAAAACTTTGTACAAGTTGAAAAGGTTTAATTCTAGTTTGGTTTAAAAGGTTTTTCTTAGATTATTCAGATCAAAGTTGTACTTCTTTTAATCGCCCAAAAGATGGCAGCGTGGTTCAGTAAAATTTTAAGGTGTGGCGCCTACGCTGCATTGTATTGAAAAACTTTTTTTTCTTCGTTCAACCTTTATTTATACAGGTTAATCTCACTGAGCCACGGGCACTCATTTACAAGAGAGACCTGTTTTAAACAAAAGAATAAATGAAAATAAGCAGATGTAAACAGAAAGAAAACTGGTTTAAAATCTTCATGCTTGTTGGACACGACGTTACGGGAGGCCGGGTAAGACATAATTCAGAAAAACCTCTGTCTTACCAGGCCTCCCATACAGGGTGACAGTGGATGTGTACAAAATAGGTTCCTGTTATAGAAGAAGCTTCAAATTCAAGTCAACAAAAACACAAAAAATGGATTTATAAATACATATTGCTCTCGACAGTCTTAAACCAATATCATATATTTATTTTAGGGATGCACGATATTGGATTTTTGGCTGATATCAGATATGTTGGGATGCACGATATTGGATTTTTGGCTGATATCAGATATGTTGAAACGTATTTATCCGATAACCAATACCGATATTTTATTCCTTTGTCAGAACATAGCCCAGCTTATTTGCTACAAAAATTGCGTAACAGCTGTAAAAGCTGGTGACATATATTCAGTAATAGCCAAATGCATAGCACTTTAACTTATATTAAATGAAAAGTGTTAAATGTTATTTATTAGCATTAATCACCTGCGATGCTGTCTCTCTTGTGGAGCTTGTTCCAGGTTCTTAGCTGCAGTGTGGGATCCTCTGCACTCTTGTGCATGAAGGACAGCCTTTTTAAGATCCAAGTTTTTGTCTATCCATGGCGCTGTAAGACTAATCATGCTAACGGGGCTAACACGACGTCCAAACGTCTGTGGTAAAACTCGCCCATGTGCTATCAGCTATTAGTTTCTCAATGACGTCGGAAATGACGACTTGTAACTCAGGTAAGGCTACATCGGAAAATTATCTCCGACTGGGGACGATGTAGCGAGGCTCAACGTAGTCCAGAAATCTTTTAAATCTGACATCCTCAGCGAAAAAAAAACTTCCACACCGCCGACATTTTGAATTTTCCTCTCCGCCGTGAGATCAGGTAGGCGCGCGCGTGACGTCATCACGTTGTGCTGCCACTGCCGACATCCTTGCCACTGGGTTGTCATACAAAAACAGCGCCTTTTATATCGGTGAGTTATTTTGATGGAATGTCCGATATTGATCTTTAACGCTAATATCGACCGATACTATGCCGATAATATCATGCATCCCTAATTTATTTGTTACGATATCTCGATATCTCAAAATCAATTAAATCAATATCTGTTAGGCTGCCTTCAGGCCCAGGCCTCCCTTTCAAAAGAAATCTGTGATCTCAGTGAGATTTGTCTGGTTAAATAAAGGTTCATAATAATTGTTGTGACTTGGCGCTATATAAATAAGATGAACTGATTCATGACATTGTAGCCATTATAGTCAAACATTGAAAATAATTGACAATTTCACATGTTACCTCACGCTTAAAGTATGGGCTATGAATGACTCTCGGCTACTACCACACAGTATCTGTAAAATTGACTGTTATAACCATTTTTGTGCTTGCTAAGGTCCGTTAAATGCTACAGCCGTTTTGAATTGGACTAACTAAAATGTAATCAGTTGTAAATATACATCCAGTACTTACAGTCGGAGAGTTTTATTGAAATCTGAACCGTGGTTCAAGGGATATTTTGCTAATAGACGGACACACTCCCAGGCAAAAACATTGCCTTTCTGTGGCAGGTGACAATAAATGTTTATTTTTCACTTTGTGGAGGAAAGAAGTAAGCTCGTTCGAAAGTCGATTTTTAGAGTATTATAGACTACGTTTAGTTTTAATCTTATCACAGGGCAAAAAGTTCCCTCGATGAACGACTACAATTCAGTGAAAGCGCAGAAGAAGAAAAAAATCAGACGCTCTTGCAACAGCTGCTCTTTATCAAGACAATGAACTTTATTTAGGAGTTTGCACTTGTCCAAAACTGAAGTCCTGTCTTCTGATGGAGACAAAAAGAAGGTTACCAGAAGTGTTTGTTCATGCGCTCGGGCCACAAGCACACATCGTCATCTTTGATTGCTCAGTCTTGTTAATTACTAAGTGAATGAAAAGGTCCGATTCAATGCTGGCGCCAGTCGCGGGGGACGGTGCGGTGCCCCCGTGGTTCCACAGCAACAGTCTCCTAGCATTCAGGAGTCAGACACACATGAGAGGAATGGAGACTGGGGACAGATGGATGGATAATATACTCAAACCACTGATTTATGTCAACAAATCGGTTTAGAAAATATTCTGCTTGCAACAGTAGAAACACTTGTGTCTTGAGTACATCACTGGAGGATAAATCTAGCCGCTACCTCGATGCATACTTGAATTTTACTAACAAGCCAAAAGGACTTGAAACTTTAAACTAGATGGGTCTTAATGAGGAAGTTTGCGGTGGTTGGCGGTGCCATGATGATGGATGAGAAAGTACCAGCAGGAAAGGAACGCCGGCGTTGTTCTGGACGGCAGTCAGTTCTGAGAACAGTACTTCCAAAAGCACACTGGTAAAACAAAAACAGGCCATGGTTAGTTAACTGGTTCAAGACTGAACAGTTGAAGATGTATTGCATTGAATGACTATCCTTACTGTCCCTAACCTACTAAGATGGACTGAACAGAAAGGTGCTCAAATCAAACGAGTCACTTCGGTTAGACGTAATTTAGTTAAGGGTCATTACCAGTGGTTTATAAGAGGAAACAAACTAAGCATTAGATGTTTTCTTTCTGCTGTTCCCTCTTCAGGGATCACCATCTCTGTCCTCACTCCAACTACCTCCACGTCTTCTCTAACTGCATCTACAGTATATTTCCTCACTTTGTCTTTTTCCTGGCAGCAGCATTTCTAACATCCTTCTACCAATATATCCATTGTCCCTCCTCTGGACATGTCCAAACCATCTCAGTCTGGCCTCTATAACTTTATCTCCCATTTCAACCTGTGCTGTACCTCTGATGATCTCATTCCTAATCTTATCCATCCTTGTCACTCTTAAGGAGAACCTCAACATCTTCATTTCTGCCACTTGCAGTTCTTTTTCCTGTCTTTTTTTCAACGCCACTGTCTCTAGACCATACAACATGGCTGGTCTAACCACTATCTTGCAAACCTTTCCTTTAACTTTACTGCCACTTTTTTGTCACAAATCACTCTCAAAACTTTTCCCCATCCACTCCATCCTGCCAGGACTCTCTTCTTCACCCACACTCCCCAGTTTCTTAGCCAGTGGACTCCAAGTACTTGAGGTCCTGGACCTTTGTGACCTCTGCTCCTTGTAGCCTCACTGTTCCACCGGCCTCCCTCTCATTCACACATATGTACTCTATCTTTCTACAGCTGACTTTCATTCCTCTTCTTTCAAGTGCATACCTGCACCTCTCCAAGTTCTCTTCCACCTGCTCCCTGTTCTCACAGATCACAATGTTGTCTGCAAACATCATAGTCCACGGGGATTCCTGCCTGACCTCATCTATTAGTCAGTCCATCAGAGCAAACGAGAAGGGGCTCAGAGCTTTTAAGTCATGGTTCATTCCATGCTAGAGCTTTTCAGCCCAGAATGGCTCTTTATTCTATCAACTCGAACAGTGCAGACCAACAGAGATTTGTTAGACGTCACCTCTTTTGTTGCTCTTTTTGTTCGGCGGTGAAAGGGACTTCCTGGCATTTTGACCCGTCAGACTTGGGAGAAGACCACCTGAGCTGGCTCTGGAGTCTGTGCTGTTAACCGCTGATGTGGTGGTGGGGGTCGGTTTAACTCCTTCCTCTGCAGGTGGAACCTTCTGCTACAAGAACAACAGAAAACATGAATTGGCTGAGTAATTAAACTGCACACGTTCAATTATGTAAACACACAATTTCTACCCTTGCTAACGTTACGTTAGCGTCTTTTACAAGTAAAACAATGGTGGAGGCAACCATTTTTTGCTTCCCAGTTCCTAGATTAGAGTCTATGTTGAGAATAGTCAAAATGTGTATATTAAGGTGAAAATATTAAAAAAAAAATAATAAAGCTAAAATGTCAAAATTATATATTATGTCAATATTAAAGTTATCAGGAATAAAATTATTACAAAAAAACAAAGTCATTACCAGAAGAATAAACTAAATGTTGGAAGTAAAGTCAAAATGTTGAGATTAGAGTACGAAGTTATGTCAAAAATATATTTTAAATATTGTGAATAAATTCTTACTATTAAAATTTAAGTAATTTTTACGTCTAGGTTACGTCATGAATAGTGTCACTGTCTCAAAAAGAACGTCAACATAAAAAAGTGGAATTGTTGAGGTTATAAGGTTTGTGTTGACTTTGTTTTTGTTGTTGACATAATGTTGACATGTCAAGAATAAAATTGAAATATCAGATTAAAGTAGCTGTGTTAAGATTAATAAGACAAATTAAAAAATTAAGTCAAAATACCATGTTTTTCAGACTACACTTAAAATCCTTTAATCTTCTCAAAAAGCAACAGTGCGCCTTATGTATTATTTCTGGTTGTGCTTACTGACCTCGAACCAATTTTATGTGGTTATTGTGAATGAGTTAAATAAAGTTTGACTTATCTTAACTGTTTTGTTTTGCTTAATGCACCTTATGTATGAAAACAGACCCGTTCATTGATATTGCACCTTATAATCCGGTGCGCCTTATAGTCCGAAAAATACGGTACCACAAGAAATAACCCGATTACGTTTCATCCTGAGAAAGCCTTGAAAATTTTAGTTTTAAACGTATATATATCTATTGCTGACTATAAAATACTATCAAAACACTAACATTTTAAAACAGCTTACAGTATTTTATTATTATTATTTAAAGAAATGGGGATGTGGTTTAAAATGTAAGTGAAAACAGCAGAAAAGTACATTTTTATTGCGCAATACAGGACGTCTGCCAAATGTTTAAAATGAGAAATTGTACAATTTTTTTGAAGCATAAATAAAAATATGAGGTAATTTCCAATTTGATGGCGGCAACACGTCTCAAAAAGAGGATACGGGAACAGCAAAATGCTGTGAAAGTAAGTGGTATGAATAGAAAAAGAAACATCTGGAGGAGAATATTTTAAATGGGTTGTGTAGAAACAGTGACTGGATATTAAAAAAAAAAGCATTTTTAGAAAGGATAAATTTATCAGAAGTAAAGATGGACAGAGGTTTACCAGTCTGTTTAAAAACTATGTTTAACGTCTGGATTAATAATTTCTTAACCGAAAATTTGAAAGACACGGAGTATCACAAAGTTTGTTTTCTCAGTCATCCAGGTATATAACAACAAAAAAGGTTGAATCATGTCATCTGGACTTGATGACTTTTTAACAAAAAACGAAGTCCAGATGACATGATTCAACCTTTTTTGTTGACACGGAGTATCCCTTACTCTAGAGTTCATAAATTGATCAAAACATAGCAACAATCTAAAATAATCTCTGAAGCTCAACGGATGAGGCTGGAAGTCGACACTGAATTCGTATGGCCGTCATGCGTGCTGCATTAAAAACAGGTCTCCATCTTTTCCGGACATCACTGCGTGGACTCATGTCATCCAGAAACAACGCCGTTTGAGGACCAAGGCAACAAGTTCCAAGGTCGGACTCAAATTTCAAATTCTTTTTGGACCATTCAGTTTATGAGCAGAAGCCGGCCTCTCTGATGGTGTGGGGGTGCATTAGTGACTGACATGGGCAGTCCACAGATCTGGAAAGGCATCATAAGCACAGAACAATATATACAGGTTTTATCCATCCATCTTTACCCGCTTCTTCCTTTTCAGGTTGCGAGGGGGGGGACACCTTGGACAGGTCGCATGTCCATCACAGGGACACATAGAGACAATTCACATCCATTCACTCTCACTCACCTAGAGACAATTTAGAGTTACCAATCAGCCTTAACGTGCATGTTACCCATGCATGTACAGCGCAAACATGCAAACTCCACCCAGAAAGGCCCCTGGCCGGGATTTGATCCAGCAACTTTCTCGCTGAGAGGCGGCAGCTCTACCAACTGCGCCACCGTGCTGCCCTGTACAGGTTTTAGAATAGGTAAAGTTCTCCATCACATGAAAATGGGACAACCTTCCCTCCAAAACTTCCTGGTCTCGGTTTCTAGACGTTTACAGAAAGTTAAAAGAAGAGGGGACGTCTCGTAGCAGGAAACATGGTCCCGTCTGAACTTTTGGAGATGGTTTACTGCCATCAAATTCAAAATTATTTTGTTTCTCCTAAAAACGGTACAATTCATTTAGTATAAACATCAGTAATGTTTACTATGCTCCACTGTAGCTAAAATAGGACAACCAGGACATCCTTAAAATAGATTAATAATCTCAGTGGATTTAGTTCCTGGTAAAATAAAGGTTTGAAAAAAATACGAGTTTACGAAATTTGGAAAAAAGCTGCGTTCTGTTTCTATTAACATTTTAAAAATCCCAACATTTTCAGAAATGAGGTTGTTCTGTGCGCTATCTAACAACCAAAACTGTGAACTTAAAATGTGCTCATTTGAATCGTTGAAGAAAAACTCATATTTTTAGGTACTTACCACTTTAATTTTCCTTGCTGGATTCCTTCCGTTTGCTAAGAAATTCAAAACAAAAGCAAGTTTAGGGGAAAAGAATTACCCGAGGTTCCCGATAAAGTGAATAAAAATATATTAATTGTAGAAAAAAACAATCTAGCTGCAAAACAAAAGTGTTGTTACCTCGTGAAGCGATGGTGAGTTGGGAGCTCAGCGTGCTGTTAAATGTCTTGTGTAGCTCCTCCAAGGCCAAGATCATTTTCTGGATCTTGGTCCATTTATCCGGGCCGGCGGTGTGTGTGTGGACCGGTGACCTCTCAGTCCTGGTGCCAGCAGTGATGGTCCTTGTAGTCATCTTGGCTGTGCTTTTTGTTCTATCAAGTCCAGCTGTACCCAAAGGATAAGGTTTTACATTTTGACTGAAATGTAGCCGTGGCAGCTTTGGTGGGATAGCGGATGCACGAGAGGGAACCTGGAGACTGTCTGATGGTTTCCCAAAACCTAAAAAAGAAAACTTGACTTGTAAAAATGGTAGAGGTAAATTAATTCTAGTAAATATTTAGTGGTTTTACTTGTTAATTTGGATAAGTTATCATAAAGTAGATGTCTAGATATGGGAAGATGTTTTTCTTGCTTGAATCTATATAAAAAAAATGTCTAATGCACACAGGGTCAAAAATATACATCAAAGCTCAAATCTATACATACACCTGACTAATATTTAGGTAAACGTCCCTTGGAAAGTTGCGCCTGTATCCATCAAAGCGCTTCTGGTAGAACTCCGATTTTCGACCATTGTTCTCAGTACTGGATGAGTTCAAGCAGTGGTGTAGTCTACATTTTTGTAGTGGGTATACCGTGGCAAAGCTAGTTTTACATTGGACGTTGGACACCACTGAAGCCACGGAACGCGAATGTCCAACGTCCAACATAAAGTTAACATTACCGCGGTTGGTTCGTATACTGTGCTTCGAGAGACCAAAGTACACTGGTTAGTACAATGTAATCGTCAATGTATTTTTAAGCATATTGAACATTTCTAAATTTCTCTGATGCTTATATTTGAATAAATGAGCAACAAACTTTGTACAACAGTTGGCTTTGCATTAGAAATATATTATAGAATTTATAAAACAGTATCAAAACTCATTCAACCTTTATTTAGACAGGTTAATCCCATTGAGCCTCGGGGACTCATTTACAAGAGTGACCTGATTTCTTAACAAAGAGCGATGACGACAGTGAATAACAGCAACATGTTCAAGTATTAAGTAGTAAGTACAGAAGTATTAATTATACAATAATTCGCTGGATAAGTGACTGTAATAAACAAGCGCTGCACACCAATAGATTGTTACGGAAGCGTTTAACTGCAATTTAACATATCAATGACATGTGCCTAATATGTCATGTAACAATGGGCACTTTTAAGTGCGTATACTGAAATTCTTAAGCTTTTCTAGTGGGTATACTCCGTATTCCCCTCGTATCACGTAGACTACGCCACTGAGTTCAAGTACTGCATGGTAAATTGGATGGTTTGATAGCACAAACCCAATTTTTAAGCATAGACGCCAAATTTTTCAATGAAACTGAGGTCAGGGCTTTGTGAAGAATCCAGAATCTTCGTGGTAGCCAGCTTTACCCAATCAGAAATATGTTTGGCTTCGTTGTCTTGTTGAAACACGCAACTGTGTCCAAATTGAAGCTGTTGATTTAAGGTGAAGTTGAAGAATTTGGAGGTAGACCTTAAATTATTCCATCCACTTTGTGCAACAGACCAGTACCACAGCCTGATGCTACCTCCACGACCTTTGGGACAGTGTTCTTAGGTTTGAGAGTCTTGCTGACTCCTCCAGTCGTGGGCGGTTGTGGCTGAAGTGTCCCTGGGCAAGACACTGAACCTCTCATTGCCTTTGATGTGTGTCCCATCAGTGTATGAATGTGATAAAGCACTGATTATTCTTTGTATAGATATAGTAGAGTGCTGTATGAATGGGTAAATGAGGGCACAGATTGTAGTGTAAAGTGCTTTGAGTGTCTTGATAAGATAGAAAGGTGCTATATAAGTGCAGTACATATACTTCTTATTAACGTGGACAAACGGTTCAGTCTTTGTCTTGTCGTACCATCAAACCTTTCTCCAAAAGACATTGTGTTTGTCTATTATGTTAACTGCAAATTTCAGTCCAAACTGAAGATGTTGCTTTTGAATCAGGGAGGCATCATGATGGATACGTACATGTCTAACCACAACTGTAATCGTACACCAAACTTTTTTATGATAAGTAATTCATTCCACCAATAATCGTAATGAAAACAGTGTTTCTCATTAGCTACAATAGACTATCTTATGGTGTGGCTGCTCTCACCTGGTACTGCAGAAGTTTCTCTGAATCTCTCACTGGGAGCCGTTTCAACTTGCATTCCAAGAATCAGCGTCGTCAAAGCTACTGTCATTCCCAACCGAACTGCTGCTTTGGTGAGCATTGTGACTGGTGTTCAGAAGGCGTTTGCGGTCTCAGCCTGTTGGCAGGTACGGTGAAGTCTGATGTTCCAAATATGGTGGCAGAATTTTATTCCACAAGCTCTTCTGTCATTCAAGTTCTAAACCCATTTTGCTTTTTCTGGTGCTCCACATCCAACTTTCCAGTCCTTTGGCTGGCGTATAGATTGTATAGACATAAAATCATATATATATATATAATTTAAATACCTACTTGCCAGTTAGAGAACTACTGATGCTGACTCGTTCTTTGAAGACCTGGTAATCTTATGTTACTCTGGACGCTAGTTACAAGAATGCTCTTCAGCAGTGATAGGTCAAGAAGCTTGAAAATTTCCTTTTTTCTTCAACCACTACGCTGGTATTTGTTGGTATTCATTCCAAGTCTTCAACGCATTTGCAGCTGAATATCCTTAACTCATTGGAATCGTATTGAATGGATGCGCCTCTTGATGAAGGCTTGTCAGGGGTAGGGGTTCCTCTTTCTAAGACAGTTGGCTAGTCTTGCCTTTATAAACCTGAGCTTGGCCTGGAATGTCTGACCGATTGCCAGTGATAGACCTGGAAACGTCTACAGTCCCGCCCTTTCCTACTGAGTCAACTGGTGACATTTGGGGTGTCTGGCGGCAAGCTTTGTGTGTTTGGTGTCAAAGATATCGTTTTGTGAGTGTGGTATGTGTGTTTAGGCCTGAGCTTAATGTTTGTGTGTTGTATGTGTGGCCCAGGCTGTGTAAGCGGTGATAAGGTAGTTCTTAATATGTTTGCTCAGGGGCCACAGAAAGAGAAAGGACCTCTGACGCAGGAGAGCGTGGAGACACAGCGACTACACACCAACCCTCACACAGAGCTCTTTAAACATTAATACACACAAAAACACTACGCTAAACCTGTATACATAAACTCACGCTATCCTGCATTGCACTTTGGAAGATACGTCCAAACAGTTTTTTTTCCCCTTTTCGGTTGCTGTTCAGTGACATCTAAATCCTTCAAATGTGAAATTGGCAGAGCTACTACAAATATACACCTTCCTACCATTCTTTCGACAAAGAGACGAGATCAAAATGAGCAATTTTGGGAGTTGATGTGTAGAAACGTAATAAAGATAATTGTGTGTTTGTCAGTTGCTGGGTGAACAGAAGTCAGCCGAAGAACATCCATTCATTCATCCCCACTTCTTATTTGTGTCCTGGGCTTTGACGCTAATGCACTGGGAGTTACCGAGTGTCCAAGCGTCAGAAGGCAGGAATAGGTTGGGTTGACAGAAAAAGACTATATTCGTCGTTGGCTTAGATGAAGTATACTCTGAAAATGTCCTGTCTCTTTGAGTCTTTGCACAATGAAACAGAGCGTCTGACCTTTCCTGCCAAAAAAAGACGAGCAAGAAAACTGGTCAAAATTGGATTTTTTTTTCTGAATAAGTAGAATAAAAAGACAACAGGTCCATGTGGTTGGGTTAGAAGTGGTAGGGATTCCACTCTACCCACAGCAGCTTATATATCGCAGTGCCTTTTTAACTACCCTAATTTAAACACGGAGAAACCAAACTCCATCAAATGTTTTGTGGCCAGCCACACTATGAAATGCACTTTAACAACTGAAGTCCGCCATAAATAAATACTTGCATTGACAAAAGGGTTTTATAAAGAGTGGTTTGTTTGGACTGGTGATGAAGTGCTGTGCCACAACTTTCTCTATCATTCACAGTTTAACCCTTGCATGTTTTTTAAGCGTGTGAATCAAAGACTATGACACGATAAATGACGTGAACTCAGAAGATGCCCAGATAGCTGGTTCTTTTACAAGCTTATAGTCCCTCCTTCATGTAAACAAATTAAACATAGCTGTTGGTAAATTAAAAAAGAAAAAGAAAATTTTTGTTTTTCCAATATGTTTAGATGACATGACAGTTTTGTCCATACAAGGAGGCTCATGTGCTATAGTTTATAGTATATGTTCTTTATCTTCACAAATGGGCATCAAAGCAATATCGCGAATAAGCCTTCAGTCTGAGATAAGAGAGTGTTTTGGGAGACAATTGAGTTGCTTGTTCTCAGGGCAGAGGGGGAAAATGTTCTCAGCCACAATAATAAAACGCAATACAATCATAACCTTTGATTGAAAATGATCTAACAGTGGAGTTTGAAGTTCTCACATCACTACTGAGCAGACTCTGGTTCCAAAAATGGGCCATGGCAGTTTCCATTGGCCAAGGACATTTGCTAAGTCTTCACTTTATACAACACTGAGCTTGTTTTTCTGGAAAATACAGGGCGTCATGGTGGTGCTGTTGGTAGAGCAGCCGCCTCTCAGTGAGCAGGTTGCCGGTTCAAATCCCAGCCATGGGTCTTTCTGGGTGGAGTTTGCATGTTCTCTCTCTGCATGCGTGGGTTTCGTCTTGGTACTCCAGTTTCCTCCCACAGACCAAAAATATGTATGTTGGGCTGGTTGGTAACACTAAATTATCTCTAGGTGTGAGTGAGAGAGTGAATGGTTGTTTATCTCTGTGTCCCTGTGATCTGTCCATGGTGTCCCTCGTCTCTT